ATATATATATATATAGCCTTATTTTTTAAATTTCTGTCAGTCACAAATACTTGATATATGAGTTGGAAATATTTTAATAATAAAATACAGTTATTCAGCTACTTAGATTATTTTTTAATAGTAATATATTTGAGAAACAAGTACTGAAAATAAATCGTTCTCGCATGGTCTGCAAGTGGTACGACGTCCTTAACACCAGAAATGGAAGCAAAATGAATTAAAAATGGAAGCAAAATGAAAGCGAAAGTAAGTTAATAGTAGATAATAAAGCGTTAATGCTGCATTAAATATGATCAATGAAAAAAAATATTGAAAAAAAAGTTAGTTAAAAACCGGAAAACATAATTATGGAAAGATATAATCTTGTCATCAGCTCACACTATTATATCCGCAAAAAGAAGTGCTTTCTATTATTGTATTAATACAGCCAAAACAAAATTTATCAAAACAATAGTGTGAGGAGCACTCAAAAAATTGAAACGAAAATAGAACGCATTAGGTAAAAAATATACAATATAAAACATATTATGCAAAAAACAGAAAATAAAATGTAAGAAAAATACAGAACAAAACACAAAACGTAACCTATTAAGCGAGTTCAAATGAACTTTCACGTATCGGAATCTTTCAAGAATGATTTAAAATGTTTTTGTAATAAGTTTGCCTTATTGCAAAATATGAAAACGGAAGCGTAAATAGAGATTAGAAGCATAAATAAAGGGATCTCTTATAGCGCGTTCCAACTGCAGTACTGAAGCACTTTCGATTTGTTAATTACCCTAGATTGTCCCGAAAATGGATGTTCTCAAGGATATAATATTATACTCGATAATTTAAAGTTATAATTAATAAGGTTGATATTTAGTTTACACAGATTTTCAGCCACAAATTTGCCCGAATTGGATTTGCACATGGTAAAAATATAAATTTAGTTAACAAAGAAGTTTTTAGTGAATTTATTAATTATAGTATAACACAATAAACTTAATGATTTTACATAGAACTTAATTGCATTTGTTGGGCATCCATTGTTATTTATCAAATTTTGGAAGAGTTTGTCTATTTGTTTTTTGGATACGTAAACATTACTACATATTCTTTTAATTCTAATCATTTGATTAAAAATGGTATTTAAATGAATGTTTCTGCAAACATAAGAATTCCAAGTAATTAGTTTATTTATATTAATATCATTTATTTTATAGTATGAATCAACAATGCAGATATTTTCTTCTTTTTTAATCCCTAAAGTCAAAAAGTTAAAATTAATTTTATCGTCGTGGTTACGAAGCAAGATGTTAATTCCTCTGGATAAATATTATTTAACAAAATTGTAAAATCTTGAAAATTAAAGATAATTAAATTATCATTATCAATAAATCTAAAAGCAAATTTAATATTACGAGTATAAGTTTTGAGGGTTGAAAGTTAAGTTTAATTTTAAGAGTTTAGTATATTTGTTCTGTTTTTTTCTTACATTTTATTTTCTGTTTTTTGCTTGATATGTTTCAGTTCGTATATTTTTTACTTAATGTGTTTTATTTTCGTTTAATTTTTTGAGTGCTCTTCTCACTACTGTATTGATATATTTTGCTTTGGCTATAATAATACAACAATAGGAAGCACTCTTTTTTGCGGATATAATCGTGTGGGCTGATTAAAAGATTATATCTTTATTTTCCGGATTTTTAAAAAAAACTTTATCCTTTTTTTCTTTTTTCCAGTTGTTTGTTATTCTTTTTTTTTTATTATTTTTCTTCCCCCCCCACCCCTTTTTTTTCCATATGTCTGTAATTTTCCTTTGTTTTATCTTCATTTTGAACTTATAGTTGATGTTTGTCTTGCGAGCAGGACAGACAGGCACATGATTTTAAAAAGATTGATTTTACATGATTTTATTTTCATAATTAGAGAATGAATATCCAAGTGTCACAAAATCCAAGTGCTCCTCAATGAAAGTTAAGGAAAATCTTGCCTGTAAAATATTTCGTTTCAGGTTGTTGTTGTTAATTTACGTCGCACTAGAGCTGCACAATGGGCTATTGACGACGGTCTGGGAAACATCCCGGAGGATGTTCCGAAGACATGCCATCACAATTTTGATCCTCTGCGGAGGGGATGGCATCCCCGCTTCGGTAGCCCGACGACCTGCGCGTGAAGTCAAGCACTTTACGGTTGCACAGTTTAACGAGGACCAATACAGCACACCCTCGGTCCCTACGCAGACTGATCCAAGTGGTTCGTTTCAGGAAAGAAGGGAAAAAAAGGGTCGAGAGGGTAAATATCTTCCTCACGGTTACATGAGAGTGAAAAAAATAAAAAAGGTTAATTAATGTATAACTTGAAGTCGGAAATAGTTTAAAGGAGAGGATATGAATTTTAAAGTGTGAGAAAAAGCGTTTTGCTTTAGAATAATAAATTTAAAAAAAGTTTTACAGCGATGGTGATTGAGAGTGCGTGAATCGCGTGCAGTAAAATTGGCCCCACTCTTATGCGGATTTTTATTTAAAAGCGACATCTATTAAACTTATTTGGCCTATGGGTCTATTAAAGCGGACAGTTCAGTTTTCATTCAAATAATCAACAAAACTCTCTATATTTATATTTTATATCCCACTACATCAGCTGTGATGAATTTCAGCAATTTATTATATGAATATGTTTTATGTTATTAAAAACATTGAACAATATGTTCTATTTATTTAGCAAAGCTATTTAAAACAAGACTATGATTAACTCTTAGTTAAATCCCAAAGCTTTCCATAAAATGAAGCAATACTTTAAGGTTTTAAACAAAAATGTCCCGCGTAATATCAAATCAATCCTTCATTTAAATGAAGTATTATAGAATTGCTTTTATTAATATGAGCAATTAAAAAACATATGCAATCTGCAATGATGTTTTATTATTCTAATCCTATTTATTGCGCATTCTAACCTCTCTTTTTTATATGCCTGGAAGAAAAACGAGCTTACTTGATGCTGCGAGATAATTAGTAATCTAAAGTAAGGTGAGATTAGTTAGCTCTTTTAAATAAATACTCTATGTTTGTAATTTATTATGCTAACTTTGAAGTGCAACGTATTTTTAATGTATTTTGGCTCTGGAGAGTTACAAATTAAATGATTTTTATTTCATATCGTATTAGGATTAATTTAAATCTGCTGCCTTTTTATTTTTAATACTCAGTTGACATGCAAATGTTTGTTTCAGCGTCAGCTAAATGTAATGAGAATACTGTAAACAAGTACTTGTTTTTAGTTTGTAAACAGAGAAAATTGTTTTTACAAAAGAAACTAACATCAACAGCTTGGGGCTCACAATATTTTAATTTACTATATTTTGTTGATAAAAATATTTTTTACTTGCAAAAACTTAACTTTAAGTACCCTCTCCTACCGCCCTTATCTATCAATCTACTAGTTTTTCAGTTTATTGTAACAATTTGTATTATTCGAATTATAAAAGGGAGCATAGTTAACATAATTATGCAGAATTTAGGCTTTTGATATGAAGGAAATAACTAGATTTATCTCTAAATCTAAATGTATAATATGTTTATGTCATTAGTTTTGCTTTTGTCCTTATGAGTAGCTGTTCCTGTCAACTAAAATTGCTTGATAATAAAATTCAAAATCTAATATACTAGTAAGTCCTGATTGAGTTGCAAGTTTTATCCTTCAAATTTAATTTAGTCTGGGACTTTTTTTTCCCTTTCCTTGCATGGTGCGGTCCATTTGTGGCGAAAAATTTATGACGAGTTTTGCAAATGTACTAATGCAGAAATCTTTCTGTAATTAATAATGCACAGTACTTTTCCATTTCACCTTATTTATGTTAATCTTATAACTGTTGTCGAACAGCCGACCCAATTTTGGGCTTTCAACTAACAATGTTCAACTTCGCAGCCTTGTAATTTTGAACCTAATCCAGAAGACAAGTGAACTGGATCAAGTATCGGGAGAAATATGTTTATTTCTTTCATTAAATTTATTTTGCTAAACATACTGATAATGTTGTTGTTAATGATCTCTGTAAGGTAATAGATGAGAGATCAGAGCTAGTGTGAAGCACATATAGAATAATTAAAATGTTTCTTTACAAAAGGGTTGAAAATTTTTTGTGAGTTTAATCATCAGAAAATAAAGATTACGTTTGCTTTGTAAGTAAAAAATTTAATTGAAACTTTAAGTTATTATAAAAGATATTATTTAGAAATGTGTATACTTTATTTTACATTTTGCTATTAAAATGAAAATTCTTTTGAATTATGCATTAAGAAATAGAGAGTCTGACTTTGGCAATCTGGTTGAAAATGCGGCAATAGTGAATAAACACAAAGTTGACTGAAATGATTAATGAAAGATGCAAAATGATTAATGAAAGATTATTTTGATTTGAATGTAATGTAATTTTTTTTACAGAATTATTTTAAATACTGGTAAAAGAATTATTATGTATATATGCCAAATAAAGAATAATATCAACTGAAAACTATGAAGTGAATTTTTCAAAATGTCGCTAGAGGTAATGTTTGCAGCTTGATAGTTTAATCTTTTTGATTCACGTTGATTAAATCTGAAATTTGCATAATATTTTTGTTCAGCTTTTTGACAGTTATCACACTGCATTTCTTCATGGTTTTTAAAATCTCAATCTATTTTATTTTTTATAGAATTACAACCCGCAAATTTTGAATTGCACATTTAATTAATCATGTTTTGACAAGTATGATAAGTCATCATGAATTTGCATAGTTTTTCAATTGTTTTTACACTATTGGTTTTTCCTTATTTTTAAAATCATGATATTTTTAATACAATGCACGAATTTGAATTCTTAATTGTTCAATTGAGTAATTATTTTTTTACGCACAATTTGGGATGATTTTGTTGTAAATCAATTAAAAAATATTTAAAATTATTGAGATTAGAAAAAAGGTTTAAATTTTGTAATTTTTTGATGAATGTATTATTAAATTTTTTCTTCGTTTTTTAGGATCTTTGTGTAAGCATGGGTGCTTAGTTTATTTTGTCATCATGTCCCAAAAATATAAAAGTTTTTCTAAAGGACGAACACTTGATTTGGGATCAACATTGCCTCTTGGTGTCAAAAGAGTCGGATATCTTAAAAAACTGAAAGTAGGTAACAGTCCTTTTTTTCCCCAGTAGTTTCAGCATTTATGTTTACAAGTAGTTTGCTATGGTATGGGTGGTCCAAGACCACTAAGATGGAAGTTTGGTCTCTAGAAGTCAATAGATAATTATTATGTAACAATTATTGTTGATGGTTTTAACATAAATAATGAACTTACATTTTCAATTTTTAAACTGTTAATTAGCTGTATTAAAATTTAGTGGAAAAAAAACATGAACAGAATTATTTTTAAGAAATACGGTTTAATCGTTAAATAATTTTTATTTTTTCAGATTTTTATCAGGTGCAAAAAAAAAAAAAACCCTGAATTTCATCTTTTTTTAACAAAATAATGATCACAACAAAAATCTTTGAATTTCAACCTTCTTCTATGATTAACTTTAATTTTTTTTTTCAAATCCCACAATTTTCAAAATTTACAAAGCAACTGAGAAAATGTGAGGAATTTCATTTCTTTTTTTCGTCTTTTAAAAGTGGTGACCACTCAAAGCGTAATCAATGGGATATTTAAGGATGATATTTCAGCTATACTAAACTGTTTAATTTATAGCACTATTTGTTTTAAGTACCATGTTAAACTGTTCCTTATTTCTTTTAAGTTTTTGCAACAATTAAAACTAGTTATTAGTACTTAAAACTAGTTACTAGTTAGCAATTAAAACTAGACTAATTATAGGTCACTCAAGATCACAGTGATTGTGTTTCCTCTTGATGTATTGTGAATATGTATAGGGAATTTTTTTTCTCTAGATTTAAGTGGCAACCCTGTTTAACACTGCAGCATTCTAATTTATGTTATGCTCAACTAATGGCAGCATATTATTTCATTCTATTAATTTTTAAATTGTTGAAATCTTTATAATTATATATTAATTAATACAAGAGGCTGAAAAAAAACTCACGGAGGCCGCAGGATCACCTCCTTTAACCTAAAGCATTCGAAATGTAAAAACATATATAAAAACATCTTATTCTTTCTGACAGCCAAAGGAATTTTAATTACAGAATTTTGAAGCAAGTCTTTGAGAAAGAAACACTACTGTAGATACAAACACTAAATTTTGCTTAGAAATTTGTAAACCTGACTTTTTTTTCTTCAGAAAAAGTGCTTTAGCATTATCTAGATAAAGAGAAAAGATTTTTTGAAATAAATCTATAACTTTTTGGAAGTTTTTATTTATTTATTTATTAATGTGATTAATTTAAATAAACTTTTTTATGATTGATCATGTTTGTTGATATTTAAAGTTATTACAGTGAAAAAAAGATGTTTTTATGAGAAAATTTGATAGTCTCGCTATATATTAACGCTGCTTGTTGTGACAAGATATTTGTAATATTTTTTTAGAAAATGAAGAAAAGATTTTTTGTTCTGCACATGGATGCTCGTTTGGAGTACTACAGCTCGGAGAAGAAATGGAAATTCGGCTGTGAACCCAGGCGCTGTATTGACCTCAAAATGTGTCTCAACGTCAGTCGGAAACTTCACTCGAAACAGAAAAATATCATCGCTTTCTACACTCAATGTGATTGTTTTGCAGTTGTGGCAGACTCTACGCAAGAACTTGAAGATTGGCTCAAAGATATTGTAGAAGTTCATAAAAGCTGTGTAGAGGGAGATGATAATTCCAGGCTTGTTTATGGTGAATATAAATATTTTTGCATTCAAAAAATAGTAATTATCTTGTATCGGAAACCCTGAAGTATTCATTCATGGTGCATAGCGTTTTTAAAAAGTGCTTAAGGGTGCTTATTTTCATATTTTAAAAGCCCTTAAAAGTACTTTTTTTCATTGGGTGTTTTTAAAAAGTGCTTAGTTTTCCTTTTCGAAAACGAGATTTTTTTCTTTACCTTGTCGATTTTCGTGCTTTTCCATTGTTCTATTCAACATTTTTCACAACTCATTCAACCACAATCCATTTCATCCTACCGTCAGCCTACTGCCAATCATTTTACATGTTTAATGAAATACTTGCGAGTCCACATGTGCATCTTCTGAGCTGAGTTGGGTGAAATTCTAACACTCTCAGTGCAACTCTGCTGCATTTTGCAAGATATTCTCAACTTCAGGCTTCATTTTCTACCCTCTGAAATCGTACCGAAAAGTCTCTTGATCTTTTTATGTTGGCTAATGTAATCAAGAGAAGGCAGTGTGCATAGTGTTTTTAAAAAGTGCTTAAAGGTGCTTATTTTCGATTTTCGTTTTTTAAAAACCCTTAAAGGTGCTTTTTTTATTGGGTGTTTTTAAAAAGTACTTAATTTTCCTTTTTTCAAAATGAGATTTTTCTTTCAACATGTTGATTTTTGCTTTGAATTATGCAGAAAGACACAGTTCATTGTTCTATTCAACGTTTTCACAATTAATTCAACCCCAATCTATTTCGGCGTATTGTCAGTTCGTAGCATATGAAAATGCCTTCGTTTTGCATCATTCAAATTTCATGATTTTTGACAATTGTCAAAAGCAATGCCAAAAGTTTTTTTTTTCTTTNTTTTTTTTTTTTGACATGACGGTTACAACAAGATAAAACTGTCAATTGTCAAAAACTTTTCGACCCTACCTAATTATGTTATATTTTTAAAGTGCTTAAAAATATTTTTTGAGTGCTTGAAAAGTGCTTAAAAGGTTTTAATTTTTTGTTTAATAATTTGGCTACGCACCTTGTTCTAACAGAATGCATACCGTTGGTGCGTAGCGTATAAAAGCACCGATCATTGTACTCGTTTGATGAAATACTTGCGGTTCCACATGTACGTCTACTGAGCTGGGTTTGATGAAATTCTTGCTCTCTCATGTGCAACTCTGCTGCATTTTGCAAGATATTCTCAATTTCAGGCTTCATTCCCTCTGAAATCGTACCAAGAAAATCTCTCAATCTTTTTAGGGTGGCTGATATAACCGAGAAAAGAGTTCTTTGTCATTCTTTCATGATTATGTAAAAATCTTTGAAAATTATTTTGCATTTTGTTAATGTATTTAGTGCTTAAAAATATTTTTTGAGTGCTTAAAAGGTGATTATTTTAGATTTTTGTTTTTTAAAAAGTGCTTAATTTTCCCATTTCCAAATTGAGATTTTTCCTTTACCATGTCGATTTTCTCTACGAATTGTGCAGAAAGACGCTGGTCGCATTGTTCTATTCAACATTTTCACAATTTATTCAATCCCAATCTCTTTCGGCGTATCGTCAGTCCGTATCATATGANCAACCCCAATCTATTTCGGCGTATTGTCAGTTCGTAGCATATGAAAATGCCTTCATTTTGCATCATTCAAAATTTCATGATTTTTGACAATTGTCAAAAGCAATGCCAAAAGTTTTTTTTTTTTTTTTGACATGACGGTTACAACAAGATAAATGTCAAAAACTTTGCGACCCTACCTAATTATGTTATATTTTTAAAGTGCTTAAAAATATTTTTTGAGTTCTTGAAAAGTGCTTAAAAGGTGCTTACTTTTTGTTGAATAATTTGGCTACGCACCCGGCAAGAGTTCAATATCAGATACTAATTATTTTATCATGATCATGTGAAATCTTTGAAAGTTATTTTGCATTTTGTTAATGTATTTAGTTCTTAAAAATATTTTTTGGTGCTTGAAAAGTACTTGAAAGGTGCTTTTTTTGTTGAAAAATTTGGATATGCACCCTATAATTTCAATTTTTTTAGTTTCTTTTATTAGTTCATTTCATGATTTAAATCACTTTATTTTTTTAAAAAATCATTGATTTGAATTAATGAATTAAGTCAAAAAATGTTTTTTCTTAAGGTTAAGTTAAAATATATTCTTAAGGTTCTTTTTTTCTTAAAAAAATTGATACTGAGGGTTTTATTAAGAAAAATAATGATATGATGCAATGAATGTAAATTATTATTTTGGGCTAAAAACAAACTACATAATAAAAAAAGACTAAATGTGGATTAAAGCGAGGTGGCATTTTTAAGTTATAACCTTAGAATAGCTTTGTGGGAAATAATTATTTAATAAACATATTTTGATTATATCAATTTAGTTTTAAGTTTGTCATGTTTATTTACTGAAATACAAATGCTTCAGAGGTTGTTAAATATGCAGTTTGTGTGTATAAATAATGAAGAAACACTTTTTTTTGTTTAAAATAATTTTTTTAAAAAATGTTTCTTGACTTAATTTACTCTTGATTTGATATCTAACCAACAGATTGTGTCTTTGCCTTCATTAATTCATGAAAATTTCAAAATTCATGAAAGCTTCATTTAGGATATTTAATTAAGCTTCAACTATGATTTAATTTTTTAGTGATTAGTTTCTATTAATTATGTAATTATTTTCATCATTTTAGTTAGAAATATTAAGTGCTTTAGTTATAACAATTTCAATCAGTCTTGAACATTATTTATATATTTTGTGTTTGTCAGAGCTATGTTTGGTATTAAGTGCACTTGTCTGATTTATGTGCATAACTGAAAATTAGTTTAAGCTGAAAGAGGATGTTTAGTTAGAGTAAAATAAATACTTTAACAAATTAATAAAATGTCTGTCAAATTAAACAAATGACATAGATTTAATAAGAAATTGAATTAAAAGTATAATCTAGCAAAGATAGCCTTTCAAACTTTCACTCAGAGAGGACTGAACTTGAAGAAATGTATATTTTCTGGGGTTGCTCAACAAGTTCTATTCTCACCAAAATTAACTGGAAGGGTTGTCACATTTTACATTTTATCTCTGTAATGGTGAATTGAGCTGCCACAAGTATACGTAAAACAAAATAATAATAAATAAATAAATCTAATTCTTTTTTTCTTTTTTTTTCCAATTAGGAAACCTGGTTTACCGCTATTTTTTGTTTATTATGTACTTACATCTAGTCTTACAGTTTCACTTGCAATCAAATTTCATTTTAAAAATAAAATTGGATAATTTAAATTTTTATTCAATTTAATTCTTCTTAGGAACATTGCATTACATACATTGTTAGTTACATACATTGCATTATCTTATGTGGAAGAGGAAGAGCATATTACAGAATGGTGCAATGTATAAAAAGGGCTATATTTAATAATCAAATTTAATAAATATAAACTAGGGGTGCACAACCTTTTTGAGTGAAAAGCAAGTTGCAGAGCAGGTAGATTAACAAAGGGCTGCCCATATGTTTTGTCATGTTAGCGACAAATATGATAATTTTTATGTAAACATTAGTGTTCTAAGCATAAAATATTTTTATCAGTTAACTTAGTAACACATTTGCAGAAAATTAAATACTTTTAATTATTTGAATTGATTTATAACTAAAAAAAATGACTTTGAAAAAAAAAGAAGAACTTTTTCCTTTTTCACAATAATTAATTTATCAAATATATGAGTGTGTGTATATACACCGAAGAGCCATTACATTGTGACCACCCTCCATCTATAACAATTGGCTCGTCCAGGTTTTCATGGTTTCTCACCCAGGAACAATGTTTTCATGCGTCACATTAGAACCCATAATCCTCATAGAACAATCCCTGACATCTGTAAGCTACTTGAACATAGTTGCAGACCAGGTTCATCCATTCATGGCAACAGTTTTTCCTGCGGGGGATGGTGTTTACCAACAGGATAATGCACCATGTCATAAGGGTCGAATCGTCATTGATTGGTTCAAGGAACATTCCTGTGACTTTCAAGTCATGTCTTGGCCCCCAAATTTACCTGACTTTAATCCAATAGAGCATTTGTGGTCCTACTTGGAAAACCAAATTCGTGNATCATGAAATTGTTTCTGAAATTTTGAATGAAAATCGGAACTCCTCAGATTAAGAGGAAGAAGTACGTGATCAAGTTCAAGATCATGGACCTTCTCATAAGAAGGATGCAATTCATTAGATATTGCAATGAATTGCCTAGAACGTCAAAATGATGTTGATCCAATTCAGTTGATTTATTTAAAAAGAATAAGGGATATGGCTGCACAAAAAAGAGCATGTTCTTTGAAACAAAAGTGTTTGCTGGATATCTTTTGCAATGGAAAATAAAGAAAAATGTGGTAAAATCAGTAATTGACAAAAAAAATTATAAAAAAGCCGAAATATGATAAAAATGATTCAAATTGAAAAAAAAAGTTTTAAAAAATATGTTTAAAAATTGAAAAAAAAAAGGTCTTAAACTCGCCAGAGCTATTTTAGATAGTACTGCTAGTCCTAAGCCTAGAAAAAGTGTGAAGGGAGGTTAGCGCATAAATAATAATCATTTAAACTAGGTTTTAAACAACTTTCCAATTATCCGAACATTTCATTATCCGAACCACGTTCGGTCCCGAGCAGTTCGGATAATCGGCGCTTTACTGTATAGGAACAGGACATAGTACTTATTATTTCAAACAAAGGATAGACAGAAATATTTCTACCCCATACTGATTGGTCTTACTTTTTCTCTTTATAGGTAAAAAAAATAATTTATTTATTGTTTAATGTTATGCATGTTGAATTAAAACAGAGCTGTTATTTTTTATGGTTTCAGAGCATTTATGGCAAGTTATTATAGATAAGCATGATTTAGAATATGATAAATTGTTGGCTGGCCCATACAGAGTAGCTTTAACTCCAAAATCTTTGTTTTTAATCAAAATGAATCCTCTTGGTGAAAACGATTACCTCGAGTTTCCGGTAAGTTAATAATTTTTTAAATAAATCATAGGAATAAATGTCAGATTTATTGTGTGTCACAGTAACATGCTTTAATATAATATATCTCTATTTTACCATCTGCTCAATTAACAAAATTAAATAGGAAATACTCTGAATAAACTTTCATAATCTGACTTAATTTTCTTTTTGTTTGCGGATAAAAAGGAGAAAAAAAATGTTGGAATAAACTCAATGAATGTTAATAGATTCTGTATTAATTTACTCAATTAATTTACTGATTGTGAGCACTCTATCCTCTTGAGCCACCGTGACTCCAACTATGGTGTTTGAAAAAAACATTTTTAAACTTATACCTACGGCCTAAGTAAACCCAAAAGGTATTTATTTCTGAGCCTCCATGGCTCTAAAACTGTTGATTATAATCCTATATATTTATATATATTTTCTATATATGTATATATATTATATATGACATTGTATTTGACAGCTGATATAGCAAAAAGTTCCATTGATCTTCTGCAGTAGTTTTTGATTGATCTCCTTTCAAATGTGGAAAATTCAAAAGCAGAATTTTTGGCATATTTTACTTTTTTACTATTAGAAAGGGGAAAATACTGTTTAAACAAACAAAAAATATCCGATGTGTATGGAGAAGCTATATTTGCAGTACGCCAGTGCCAAAACTTCGCTTGTTTTGTCGCTGGCAAATTATTATTTCGATTAAGATGCACCACTGGTGAATAACAACTCGTAAGGACGTCGAGTGATTGAATCTATGAAATTTGACCGTTCACGATCCTTTGAAGAGACTAAAGGTTCAATTGGAAAACTTGAGAAATGGGTTTCTCATCTTACAAAGAGGACTTTGTGCCGCCACGTTAACACATGTGAATTGCTTCTCAAATGTAACAGAAAATGATTCATTTTTGAAGCATATATTGGGGACAAAAAATGTTCAAATTCTGCAAAGACTTTTAGGCACCTTAAAACTTTTAAAACCTTTACTTCAAGTAAGGAGATCAAAAATAATGTGGATCAGTTTCATGCCAACTAAGAACAAAAATTTTATACTCGTTGAAATCATGCTACTGCCAGAAAGAGGACAAAAGGTATTGGACCATTATAGATAGCGTATGATTTAATGAAATATTTATTCGCTATAAGAAAATTGCGTTTTATTTTCATTAAAAGGTATAAGGAATTGCTTTGCGAACAACCCAATATTCATTTATATGTACATCATCTTCATATTTGGCCAGACAGCCTGTGCAGGCCAATGCCTTCCTCTGAAGATTTCTCCATAATTGCTTTGCGAATAAGAAATTAATTTGCGAACAACCCAATATTCATTTATATGTATATCATCTTCATACTTCAAAATAGCGGGAAAACCAAGTAAAATTCTTCCCAGTTTTCTGGTTTCCCAGTTTTTTGAATACTGGATAAATGGTTCTCTACTGTATAACATAATAATTTAAAATATGCCGATCACTGGTTACTGTACTGGATTTATGTTGACATATAGATACGAGATTCTGTGACAATCTCGGATGTCACAATAAACGAGTTTGAGGTTGTATGGCGTAGGCAACACAACTCAACTGCTGTGGCTTAGCCATAGGGGATATTTCCGTATCATGATCTGTCACGCCAACTACAACCACCAAGGTGTCCAATAAATTTTAAACTTGCAAATTTAAAAAAAACAAAACATTTCGATGTTTGCCCGGGGGTGGCTACGAGTTAAACATTTCGAGTTGGTCTCTTTCTGTGATATTTTTTTTTAAAGTTTCTCGCGGGCCACTGCCCAAAAGTTTCCAAGACTTGGCGATAATTCTGCCATAGATCATGATACGGAAATCTCCCCTATTCACAGATGCCCACTGGGTAACCACAAGAGAGGAACAATTCTGGCATTTCTGAGGCTAATGGAAAATAGACCCAGGTGCCATACATTAAAAAAAAAATTATTAAAATATATCATTGTATTATTTTGACACTATTTTCAAATGAATAATAAAAAGTGTTATCAAAAAGGGAAATTTTTTTTTTTTAAATTTCCAAATTAGGGTTTTAAAAAAAAGAAAAAAAAACTGAGTACGCTATTTTGTATTTTTCATGTATATATAAATGGACCCCAAGTGATTCAAATGAGTGATGAGGAAGTCAAATGAGGAGGTCATTATAGAGAAATCTTCAAAGGAAGGCATTGGCCTGCACTAGGCTGTCTGGCCAACTATAACGATTATGGAAAAAAAAGTGGAAATTAGAGTAGAGTTGAATGTTGTTTTTATTTAGATTAATAAGTTTTCCTTTCATCGCCCCCCTCCGCCCCGGTATAATTAGATATGAAATATATTCTGTTTTTTTAATTATTGGTTTTGTTTTATATTAGTTAATTTGGGGATTTTTAATTATTATCAAAAAATAAATATGCTAATTTTGTATTTTTTAAACTTATTTTTCTTGTCTAAACTTGCAAATGTTTTTATCCTTTTAAATGTTATTTTTCTACCATTTTTTTTTAAATTAGGAGATCTTTTTGTATTTTTCTTATTTTAAAATGTGTTTCACTTTTTCCTCGTGATTTGGGTTTGATAAAACATCAATTAACAGCACTTTTGGCCGCTCCAGAAAACCGGGAAATTCAGACATCTAACTAGTTCTCTACTGTATTATTATTAGTTATGTTTAATTATTGTGGTTAATTATTATTATTAAATTATTATTATTAAATTATTATATAGTTAATGAGTATCAGGAGATGTGGACATTCTAAAGACCATTTTTTCATTGAGTTGGGACGTTCTGCCGTGACAGGAGCCGGGGAAATTTACATGGCTACTGAAGCTACCATAGTGGCTCAGAATATGCATGAAACTGTTTTGAGGTATGTTGAAGTGTTGTACCAAATTAGGAATGAATGTTTTTTGTTTAAAAATACAATGTTTCTTTTTTTCTTTTCTAATTCATTGAAGTGCAATGAAGTCTTCCAAGATAAGAGAGGATCCTCGACCACGCAGTGCCTCATCGAGTGAGAATTCAAACCCTCATCCAATCGGAGTCCCTCAAGCTTTTTCTAATAGTCGTGAACGCTGTGATAGTTTACCAACACGACCCCAAACCATTATGGGAGACAATTTCAGGTTTGTATCTCTACTCTCAGTTTAATATATTTCTTGATATAAGGTCTCTGCTTTTTAAATTTTTTCTAACCTCTCTAAACTCAGTGGTGTAGCAGCCCGTCGAGGGCCAAGGTCTAATGTGCCCATCTCATTTTTTTTTACCTTTGTGGTCTGAGGTGCAAGAAGAGATGTTCCGGTTGAGTGATCAGCCCAACGAGGACAGTGTGCGTAGCGTTTTGAAAAGGTGCTTATTTTCGTTTTTTAAAAGCCCTTAAAGGTGCTTTTTTATTGGGTGTTTTTAAAAAGTGCTTAATTTTCCTTTTTCCAAAAGGAGATTTTTCCTCTACCATGTTGATTTTTGCTACAAATTATGCAGAAAGACGTTGTTCTATTCAATGTTTTCCCAATTAATTCAACCCCAATCTATTTTGGTGTACCGTCAGTCCGTAGCGTATGAAAACACCATTGATTTACTTGATTCAAAAATTTTGACAATTGCCAAAAACAATGACAAAAGTTTTTTAATTTTTTTCCGACATGACGATTAAAACCGTCGGTTGTCAAAATCTTTCCAATCTTACCTAATTGCAATTTTTTTTAAAGTGCTTAAAAATATTATTTGAGTGCTTGAAAAGTGCTTAAAAGGTGCTTATCTATTTTTGAATAATTTGACAATGCAACCTGAAGGACATTATATCCTTCAGGTTTGGGATTACAAAGGTTTGGGATTACTGGGGGTCTATATAGACCCCAGGGGTCTATTCAGCAAAGGCGGGGGTCGCTCTGAGACAAGGTGTCGAAGAAAAAACAGCTCTTAATACGCAAATCATACATACGTAATTTGTGTGATTTGCGTATTAAGAACTGTTGTATGTAAAATTTGTGAATTTTTTTGTAATTGACTTAATATCAGTTTCTTTATAAAACAAAAATTAATAAACATATATTTATTCGGGTGAAGCAAGCTGGTTTATAAGTCATATGCCTATGTGCGCTTGTCCAAATGTCACATGTGACGAGTATTGATGTTAAAAACGCAAATATCATATGCAGTTTCAGCTATCTTTGCAAACTGTGAACAGTGTTGAATATTTGCAGTGTCATTATTAAAGCTTTCACAGTTTTTGATAATTAGTTATTGTTTTGATAAAACGATTCGTTTAGTTTAGATATCAATTTTAATTATCAATAAATGTAAAAAAGAAGGCAAGCATTAATAATATGGATCAGTACAGCCGGAGACAAAACTGCAAGATGAGCTTGCTGAATTATTATCGGATCTTGAAGCAAAGACGCTTTTTAAAAATTTAACAATAAGCAAATTTTGGACAAATATAAATATAATGCAAAAATAAGTAAAACTTTTCGAAATAGCTCAGCCATTTATGCTAGCATTTCCAAGTTCCTATATGGTTGAAGCCGGTTTCAGTCACGTAAATTCAATCTTAACTAAGAACAGAAATAAATTAAATGTGGAGTTTCGAGGGGATTTAAGATTAAAATTGACCAATTTTGAACCCAATATAACGAACCTTGCAGAAAAAAAAAAACCAGGCACACCCATGTCATTGATTAAGAAGCAATAAATCCGTAGTTACTTTACTTATTATTTCTACTTACTTATAATTACTTATTATTTCATAAATATTAAGGTATTTATATTTCAACATTAATATATTTTTCATAAAACTATTGTTACACAATGTACTATTACTTTAATAAATGTTTAAAATCATAAAATAAATGTACAAACACAGTATCTAATAGTTTTATTTTAATTAACAGAAAATTACTTTTATGGGGGTCGATGGAGATTTAAAAAAATAATATAGGGGTCGATGATCAAAAAAGTTTGGCGACTCATGCTTTAGACTATTAAAAGCCAACTATATTGTTCATTTTTTCCTGTGGCAACCCTAGGCTGAGGAGGTTCTCTTAAAATCATGCCAATAAAACTATTGCAGGGCCAATAAGCTATTCAATGTAATAACTATTTCATTATATATTAGTAACTGTTTGTTTTGTTATTGTATTAATAAATAAATCAGAAAATTCAACCTCAGTTCATTATGAGGAGGATTGAATAATCCTCAACATTCTAGTAACAAATCCATCTGTATGGAAACATATGCCGTAAAAGAGCATAATTGTTGGTAAGAATCATGATGAGAAGAATATTTATATTGAATATTTCTTTTAGTTCTTCTCCATACACATCCGTTGGGTGTCTTTCGAAAGATGTAAATTCTCGTCCGCATTCCATGTATGAATGGCCTTCTGTTAATTCTCAGAATTCTATGTAAGTAAAAAAATGCCTTTTCTTTCTAGTTCTATATTTCAGTTGCATAGTTTAAAAGAAATTGTTTTCAATGGTTATTGTTAGTTATAACAAATTTGTGTGAAATTATATTAATGATTGTGTAGGAAAGAACCTTTCGCAGTAAAAATGGCTTCTTATCTTTCATTTTAAAACTTCCGTGTGATGTTAGCACAGAAAAGTCAGAAAAAATTTCTTTCCGATACCTTTAAAAAATCTTTCCGCAAACCTAATAAATTATTAATTGTGGAATTGGTTTCTAACAGATCTATACTGAGATTCTTTTTATCAATTCCTACTATTAGTTCCCACTCTCCCTATTATCTTGTTTGAATTTTCAATCGTTAATAAAATATTTTTTATTCATCCACTTAAAGTTCAAATACATTTTTTTTAAACTTGTAGTGGATGACACTTGATGTTAATACAATTTTTTCAAATGTTAATTCATTAATTAAATTTAATTAATTATTTTGAGTTTTATATGGGAGAAAAAATTAAATTATTTAATTAAAAGTAACTAAAATTTAATTTTTCTTTATTGACCTAAATAGGAATTAAATTTTATTTTTTTATATTGTTTGATTTAATAAAGACTGGCTCCTCATCCCTTATCTGATTATCTATGGTATTGTTCTAGAGCAGGGGTTTCCAACTGGCAGCCCGGGGGCCGCATAAGGCCCGCAAAGCCTTTTTTTGTGGCCCGCGAACTAAAATATATTACTTGTCATTTTTTTTAGCGGGCAATTTTCGTAAAAAAATCTATATGGGTTTAAAATACTTTTCACGTTAATAAAAACCTAATTTCTTCGTTTCTGTGAAATTTAACATACCAACGGCGCAAAGAAATTTTTCAGGTTTTGCATCCAAGAAAATATTTATTCGAACACAAAAATAATCGTGTATGTTGCTCTTTTTTATTTCATTTTTATTATTTTTTTCGTATTTTGTGAATATAATCTATGCATGTGCGTATCAGAAATTTTCTTGAAGAAATTCTCCGATTTATCTTTTAGAAACCACTCATTTTGTACGAAAATATTTAAACACACATTTTTAAATTTAATATGTAAATATCTATTCTCTGGTGGTTGCAGCAGGCAAACCTCAATTTTCTCATTGAATATTTTGTGTGTTACTATGTAAGTTTTAATAAAATTAGATATCTGTTGCACATTAATTGTTTAATACATAGGTGCTCACTTGAAAGTTATTGTAGCCCGAATTTTTATTATTTATTTAATATTTTTGAAAATATTATTAATAACAATTAAATATTTTTAAAATTCTACTTCTTATTTTAATTTGTAAATCAATACTTTTGTTTTGTACAACTTTATAAAACTCTGGCAGTAATATTTAATGTTCCTTCAAACTTTAAAGAGTTCTACAAAAAATTTTGATAAAGTTGCGGCCCGCCATTTGATTTGTGTTTTTAATTGTGGCCCCCAGCCTCATGTAAGTTGGAAACCCCTGTTCTAGAGTATACTTATGAATTATAGAAGATCATTCCTTGCAATGAAATATTTTGTCTATAGGTGTACAGTTTTGATTTTGATTATTAGGAAGAACTAATAACTTTCAAAAACTCAACAGTTATATTAATATGTTACCGATTATATTATTATGTACCCAGTATTCCGAATTGCAATGTATATCATTCCAATACATCTTGTTTCTTACAAAATATAATATTTAAAAATTTGAAGGGAGAAAAAGAATTTTTTATGAAATGAAAAATTGCATTACAATAATGTGTTTAGAATTTCATATTTATCAGAAAAATCAATCTGTTTGATTTCTGAAACTGTTTTAAAATTATGATGTTTCCAGTTATTTTTCTTGCTTCCAAACTACCAATTTTCCAATTAACCCATTTGCCACCAATTAAATAAGCAAAAAAATTTTTAAAAATTATTGTACCATACCTGCCAAGCCACCTGTTTTTTAACAAAGACTCCTGTATTTTACAACTATCTCCTGCTTACTCCTATATTGTCAAATTTCTCCGCATTTGTTGAAGAAATTAAAAAAACAAAATTGTGATAAAATATTCACTGATGGCCAAAACACTTCTCTTATTCCTCAATAGATGGTGCTATTACCAGTATGTTGAATGTCAATAGTTTAAATCAAGAATGTGATGGCTCAGGGAATAAATGATGCTCCTTCCAATGAGGTGAACCGGGTTCGAATCCCAGTGATGACTGGTTAATACGAATTCCGCATCCAGCTTGCACCGACCACTGTGTTGACGTAAAATATCCTCAGTGGTAGATGGATCACAAGTTAAGAGTCTCCTTGACGTCAGGCTAACCGTGGGTGGTTTTCCTCTTCATGGCTATTTAATTCCATCAAAAAGTCATACACAAAGGCAGATTTCTCCCAATACTTGATCCAGGAGTTCCCTTGTCTTCTGGATTAGGTTCTTCAAAATTACGAGGCTACAGAGTTGAACACCAGTAGTTGTAAACCCCAAATTGGGTTGACTGTTCAACGTCGATTATAAAATAAAATAGTTTAAGAAATTATGAAAATGGTTTGAAATTTTTTTTTCTTCTGTATATTAGGACTTATATACATATTTTTTACATCGCTGAATGTAAGTGCTTATAGTATTTCCAATTTTGAATTTCTCTTTTTGACTCACATGATTATGTATGATGTATCAAATTGTTACTCGCAGCTTAAAAAATTTCTCAATTGAAATTTTATTTCTCCTATGTTTACAGGTATGTTTTACCACAGTCTAAATTTATTTTGAATTTAGTTTTTAGTTATTGCCCTTGGACCTTCCATTCACGATGTACAAAGTTGATCTTTAGTTCAAAATATCCCACAATTTTAGTTTATTCAAAGTCCATTCCTGAAAAAATCGGAAAAGTTTACTACTTTTTAATGTAAAAATTTATTTCCTGTTAATACTAAATTAAAGTTTTATTAATGAGGTAAAATTAAGCCCAATTTAGATAGCAGAATTTGAATGCTATCTATTTGTGTAGTATATCAACCTTTACAAAAATGCAATTCCGATTCCCTAGTATATAAGACATGTTGACTCGATTCTATGTTGGAGTGCCTTTTTATAGATGAAGGTTGACATTATCAATTACTGCTATACCCACATTGGTGACTTTCGTACGAGATGTGAACACGCCAACTTGACAATAACACCCACTTCGATGTGAACACACTTACTTTGATGAATGGTTCTCTTTTAGCAGTTCACTTGCTTCTTGTTCAGACTACGACATGATCCACCTCCTCGCACTGTTGCTACTCAGTCTCGATCAAACATAATGTACAATGTATACACTCGACTGCTAAAGATGACACAGACGTGACCACAACCGTGATCTTAATACAGCTCTCCCGGCTTTTCACAAAACAGCAATGAATCAACTAGTGGTATCTATGCATTGAATTCTATCTCAGCCAAAATTCTGGTGGGAGAGTACTGTAGTGCATCTACCACTACAAAAATACAATTCCAATTCACTAGTTTATAAGACATGTTAACTCGATTCTATGTTGGGCTACCTTTTCATAGATGAATGTCAACATTGTCGATAACTTTACTCCCCATAATTTGAACTGTAATAACAAGCTTCAACTTTGTTGGAAACTTGAATTAACTATCATATATACTAAATTAATAATGTCCTGACATTAAAATCTGCGAATTGTTCTGTTTTTTGTAATAATTCATGGTTCACTAAACCATGATTTATTACAAAAAAATTTGCAAAGTTACCCATTTCCTATGCAGAGACTAAATCTGCTTGCACATATTTATACCAGTAACGTGTTTAACAATTACAATTGTCAGCTTAACAATTACAATTATCAGTTCCTGACATTATTTTTGTAGAAATGTGACATATTCGCCTATATCTGATATAGTAACAGGCAACCTCCATCTATTAAAATATATGAAACTCTAAATGCTGATAAAATCTGAAATTTGATGTTTTCGATGAAAATGGCAATTACTTGGTATGCAGACAACAAATAACTCAAGTGTGTGAAAAGGAGACATTGCTTCCAAGCAGAATTTCATTATTCAAAATATCAATTAGTTATTCTTAATACCCTAAGGGATACTGTTCTACTATTGTATAAGCTCCTATATGCCTTGAAATATTGATATTTTTAATTTATTAGAAATTATGAACTGATGAAACGTCTTTTTTTAGATTTAGTCCAGGATCTTTGTCTGGAGGTAATAGCAGCACAGAAAATGTTAACAGACAGCAAGCATTAAAGTTTGTATATTTTTAACTGTGGTCTTTGAAATGCAAATTAAACATACACATAAACAAGAATATTAATAAAGTCCATACAAACTTTCTATTACTTTTTAAATAAAATATATGTCCCATGAAAAATATTTATCAAGTATTTGAAAACAGTGAATTGGGCATTCTATACATTGCACAGTGCACAAAATTAAAAACGGACCACAATTAATAACTTCTGATCTAATGATTGGATCTTCATGTTCTGGGACTCATTCGTAATGGTTTGAGAGGGTGATATTAAATATGCTAATTAATTAGTATGGATGATATTTTAAGTTATGAAATCAGACACAAAAACGTATTTTCTTTGAAAGTACGTTTGAAAGTAGCCGCATTCTGAGAAATATAGTCCTAATAGTTAGGTCAGGAGAGCGCTTCAAAGTTAACACCCCTTAATGCTAATTTTATTTTTTGCATATTCTACCATATCTCTAAGACTTTTTAAACAAATTGAAAAATGTTTGCACACAATTATAAAATTCATTCATCCAAAGATTATAAAATTTATTTATCCATGCAAAAATTAACTTTAAATAAATAATTATAATTTTTTTTAATTATTTTACTTAAAAGTAGTCAAAAAAATTTTGAATTGTAAGCTATGCAATTCTTTGCATCATTTTAAAGAATATAATGTTGTATGGCAAAATACAAAATTTTAGTGATATCAGTCAAATAGTTCCAGAGAAATTGAATTTTTATAATATGACTTCTTTGAAGTTTGATTCCATTAGAACTTTTTGGCTGATTTCACTCAAATTTTGTATTTTGCTGTCAAAAGTAATATACTTTAAAAGGATATAAAGAATTGTATACCTTACAGTTCAAAATATTTTTGACTATTATTAAATAAAGCAATGAAAAAGTATATAGATTTATTAAAATTATTTTTTCCCTGTAGTTATTTTTTGGAGGAATGAGCTTTATAATTGTGTGCAAACAATTTTCAATTTGCTTATAAAGTTTTCGAGATATGACGCAATGCACAAAAAGTAACGTTAACATTAAGCGGTCTAACCTTTGGTTTGCTTTCCTGACCAAACGGTAGGGGGCCAAGTATCCCAGATTGCAGCTGTCCTATATGTTTTGGGGGTCAGAAATACGAATTCGTCAAAAAAAGGTATGTTTATTCAGAGAAAGTACCTTTTTTTTTGTCTGATTTCGTAACTTAAAATATCACCTGCACTAGTTAATTAGCATGTTTGAAATAACTCCCTTAAACCATTAAGAATGAGTCCTAGAACATGAAGGTCCTTTTTTATTTTGTGCACTGCACATCTTATGTATCTTCATAAGTATTAAAATATGGTACTATTAAATTACCTACTCCTTCATATTTACCATACAAAACTTTATTTATGCAGGATTTTTTTTTAGAAATGTCTAATCTGGTATGCTTGAGTTTAATCTGGGTATCTTAATCTTATATTTACATCTTATAATATAAATGGATGCAGAAACAGCTTTCACAGAAATTCATCATTACAGAAAATTCTTTACTATAACTATTCCAATTAGAATCTCGCAATTATTATCTATTAGTCTATAACAATTTTTAGCACATTAATGTAGTGTTAAATGCATTGTTATTATTTATTTTAAATGATATTTTAAGTGTGTTTGTGATGTTTAATTGAGTATGAAATAAAAGCTTCCTAAATATTTTCTAAAAAAAATATATATTAAAAATCTGGCATAAATTTTTATATATTTAAATTTAATGAATTGATTTTTTATTTAATTTTTTAAGTAACCGATCTTTTCTTTAAACTTGATTAATAAATTTTTTATAAAAAATTTCCATTGATAAAAATTTTTTATTATGATTCCAGTTATAATCCATATTCGTTACTATCTTGTTCCAATTCATCGCCTGGCCGACAAACAACAGAAACTAAAAATGATTACCTGAAGATGTCTCCAAGCTCTGGTAAGTTTTAGACACTATTTTAAATATTATTCCTTTATTATCTGTTTTCATTCAATGTCTGTATTCATTTGTAATAAGATCTATTTGTTTAATTTAGACTAAAAAGTAATTTTTTATTGAATATATTATCTTAAAATTTTACATTCTTCATTAAAAAAAAATTGTTTTTAAATTGGATCACATTAATCTTTCATGTTAATAAAATATAAATCATTGGTTTCAAATTGGATCACATTAATCTTTCATGTAAATAAAATATAAAACATTGATTTCACATGTTACTGCGACAATGGCACCACCCCTTCCAACAAACTCCAGTTCAGATAAGTTGATAGTATAATAACATTAAGCAAAACATTAATGTTCTCCAGAAATTGAGATAAATAACGAAAAATAGTGACTCATAATGAGCAACCGTTTGGTCCATTAAGCAGCCCTATAGGGGAAATATAGCCATATAGGGGAATCATAAAATTGCCTTTATGTATGAGGATAGAGTGTAGGTAAAATGTACGGTTGCTCATAATTTTCACTGGTATGTAAATGAAGCCATACAGTCTTTCATAGATCAAAATTAATCTAAAACATAATATTTCATTACAAAATGAAAAAATTATTTATATTTATGTCAAACAATTGCACTTGAAATCAGAATCATTTCTTGTGTCGCTTATGTTATTGTTTCTGTAGAGAGTTGGTTGAGGCAAGCGTGTTCAGATCACGTCTGTGACCCATGTGGGGCTAGGCTACAAACACTGTCAAACTTCATCTATGAAAAGGTACCCCAACATAGAATTGAGTTAGCATGTCTTATATACTAGTGAATTGGAATTGTATTTTTGTAGTGGTAGATACACTACAGTATTCCCCCACCAGAATTATGGCTGTGATAGAATTCTGTGAAGGGATACTACTGGTTGATTTTCCGTTTTGTGAGAAGCCGGGGTATTAAGATTACCGTACTCTTGAATACTGATTGTGAGAGCTGTATTAGGCTCACGGTCTAGGTCGCTCTTGTGTTGCCCTTAGCAGTTGAGTGCATATGTTGTATTGCACACCAATGTAATGTGGGGAGAGTCACATCGACCATGTCAACATTCATCTGTGAAAAGGTAGCCCAACATAGAATTGAGTTAACATGTCTTAGATACTAGTGAATTGGAATTGTATTTTTGTAGTGGTAGATGCACTACAGTTTCATTTCCAATTTCTCGGTATGAAATATAATTGCTAGTAATTCATGGAACTTAACCTTTTAACTAAAATCAGAATAACCATCTCAAATGTTTTATTTCTGTTCCTTTTTTCGTTGCGCCTTTTTTTCTTTGTTTTTATTAAACCTTTAGGAGTTGATTTACTTTTTTTTAGTTATTCCTCAAACAAGGTCTCCCGACAAATGAATATGTGAGACACGTGTGTCAAAAATAGTATCCATCACTAATCTTCAATTTTGTCAATAACTAACTTATTTTAATTTTAAAAAGCTGTTTTTTTTTTTAAATGTTTGGAAATTAATTGTTTTGTCAAAACAAAGAAACAGAAACAAATGGAGAGCACAATAATTTTTTCTTTTGAAGATTTGAATTAAATTTTTTTCTAAATATGTTTAATTTCATGTTCATATTTTGTTTTTCATATTTTCATTTGCCTATTGTTCATCGATTGCAAACATTGCTGTCATACAAAAATTTTTGTTAAAAAAATAACAAGGTTATTAAAAGTTATCTAAATTGAAACTAATTCTTTTTTTTTTTAAAATTAATTTAATCAAATTATTTAAAATTCCTGTAATTATGTTTATTAATATTTTCAACTTACATTGCATAACATATTCTGATTTTGTAATTTCATTAAAATTTAGCGGAGCTTAATCAGTATTTAATAATTGGTACCACTCAGCCTTTCCCCATCCCTAGAAAAATACATAATTTTCATCAAAGATTGTGGTGCGTTTTATCAGTACATAACAGTAAAAATAGCGAAAAAAGTATTGCTATAGCGTTGAATAAGTTGCAATTGAATTGTGTTTTAGCTTGTATTGTAAAATGAATGTTATTTATTTTTAGAAAAATCAAATCCGTTTGATTACATATCAATGAAGAAATCTAGTAACTCATCACTTACACCTTCTGATTACGTTGATATGAAGGCTTCTCATAAATCAGGTAATTTCTGTACTGTATAACATACAATGCCTCAAAATTAAAATTGTTTTTAGGAAGTGGTTAAAGGTGCTTTTTTCATTGGAAGTTTTTAAGAAGTGCTTAATATTTAATTTTCAAAAATGAGATTTTTTTTTTTTTTACCATATAGATTTTTATTGAACATTTTCACAATTCATTCAACCACAACCCATTTCGGCATATCGTCGTTAAGTGCCAAACATTTTACATGATTGATGAAATATTTGCGAATCCGCATATATGTCTACAGAGATGGGTCTGGTGAGATTATCATACGCAACTCTGCTGCATTTTGCAAGATATTCTCAATTTCAGGCTTCTTTTTCCACCCTCTGAAATCAAACCAAAAAATCTTTAATTTTTTTTATGGCCGCTAATATAATCTGGAAAAAAATACTTTGTCAGAAAGTAGTTATTATATCATGATCATGTAAAGTCTTTTATTATTTCGCATTTTGTTCATGTGTCTAGTGCTTAAATTTTTTTGAGTGCTTAAGTACTTGAAAAGTGCTTATTTTTTGTTGAAAGATTTGGCTACGCACCCTGAAAATGTCGTATCAGAAATTTTAAAAATCTCTTCATAAATGGACAAGAAAATAACTTTATTACTGCAAGATTAATTTAAATGCAATACTAATTAGTCATACTGAAGGTGTTAATAATTTTCATGTGCAGAACAGATTTAACTACTTATTCACATCAAATTTATCACTAATCCATAGTTTTTCTCAGTCTGACCCAAAAAGACTGTTTCAAATTTTTTCAGTTAGACCTGTCGTGTTTTTTTTTTGTTTTTTTTTTTACCCCTTTCACAGACTTTCTTGATTTCTTATTATGATTCTTTTTGAGGAGCAAAGTACAAGTTTCGAAGGAAAATAACAGTTACATTGTAGTAGATAATGACAATTCACAATACATTGTCATAAAAAAAAAACTCATTTTTATGAGTGATTGAGAATCTAGTTGTTGTTGAATCTCTTAATTATGGAATTGTGCTTTCTTTAAATTATGCAAATCTTCTGATGCTGTTTTTTTACAATCAATTAAGCAGTTTATCGCTTATTTAGCCGCTATTTGGAAAAAAAAGCATCCAGGTCTTTAATTATTGAAAAAAAAAATATCATTGTTAGAAAATATTTAAAAAGTGCAGTGTTTATTTTTTTAAAAAAATACAACTTAAACTTTTTTCAATTAAACTTTCTCAAATTAAACTTTTTAATATTTTATTTTTATTCAAAGATAGGTTTATCGCTCTTTAATGTATTCCTTTTTTTTAAAACTAAAAATTGATAGTAATGAACTAAATCTAAAGATTATGGGAGGGGAATCAGGAGTTTCATGTCTTATGGCGTCAGCTGTTTCTAAGTTTTCAATCCATCAAAGTTTTTTTTTATTTTTCTGCTTATAAAGATTTTTATAAACACTTTACGTTATGACATAGTCTGCAACAGGTTAATTTATGCCACATTCCTTCCCCCTTTCTGTGCAAGTGCTTTATGCAAAAATACAATTTAGAGTTGATAACTAATCAAAAGATGCAAGAATTACGCAATACCAATTGTAAAACCTTAATGTTATGAAACATCCCGATATATTGAAACATTGCGATATTAGAGTAACGATACATTGAGAAGTATGGGTACTTTAAAATAGATGCTGTAGGAATGTTCAAAAGTAATTGCTATAAATATCATTTGCAGGAGGATCCTTAAAGAAGAATACTTACATGACCATGGCTCATGGTGGAGCTTCAGATGAAGAACCTGTCATCATGCAAGCAGGCTACATGGATATGTCGCCCTCCAATTCCCTTCCTAACAGTAAGAATTCTTTAATTGGGCTTTGAGTCTCTTTTACAGCCTTTTTTTTTCAAGTGTATTCAGCTCTTTTTCTTCTGTCAACTCTATCATGAAAATCCCCCATAACTGTCTCCCTTCACTAGAATATATATATATTTTAATTTACACCCTCCATCATCTTCTCAGACATAAGACGTCTTGCAGTCCAATACAATAGTGAACTAGCTCCGGAAGGTGAGAGGGCTTGAAAGTCGTCACATCAACCAGTGTTTTCATCTCAGAAAAAAAATGGGTGAGAATTTCTCACCCTTTCTCAAAAACAGGGTGAGATTTCAAAAAAGTTAAGTGAGATTTCTANGAAAGAGGTTCCGTGGTTCGGAAGGATGGTGTTCTGTTGTTCTTAAAGGTTCTGAACAATACTGGTAAATAGGGAAGCTAGATAATGGGGCAGATGTTGAAAATAATAAAAGATCCAGGAAGAAAAGTGAAGCGGATTTTATTCTAAATGGCGCAAAAGAGAATTTTTTTTCAAAATGCGAGAAATTCGCGAATTTTGAAATTTTTTTATAGAATGCGCGAATTTCTCGCGGTAATCATTTTTTAATGCGAGAATATTAAAAAATATGCGAGATTCTCGCGCTATAGTGAAAACACTGCATCAACGAATGTCAAAAAGAGAGGGGTAATCAAATAGATGCTCCCCAGTCATAGGCGAAGTGTTGCAGAGCACACAAAGAGGTGAATTTTAAATAGATGGGCCTGCAAGTAGTCATGTCCAGTAATTATTCTAAGACAAGCAACTCCCTCGGCCCTGAGAAGTAGGGGAAAGAGGAGAGCGCTGCTGGCCACCAAGAAGGCTAGCCCAGGATTTTCACTATAATATAGAGAAATGCAAATAAAATCATAAATACAGCATAACATGGTGACTGCTATTGTGTACAGTTCTATCTTTCAGCTAATCTTGCATATTTAAACTCCTTGCTCTTCTTCAGATAAATGTAGGTTCCAAGATCAGAAGTGACTGTATTCCAGGTGTACCCTGGAATACAGTCGTGTCATCCTTCCAGGTCCAAAAACTCGAAACGGGTGATTTGTCCACGAATTTCGCGAAATTCTGAGTTTTTTTCAAGACCATTGATTTGCGATCTTCCAAAACTTATAATCCAACGAAATTTTCACTGCAATCTAAAATTTTGAACAAGAGTGAAGAAGACTTAAAGGAAGAATTAAAGAGCTCCGGAATCTAAAATTTGATTTTTGAGAATTTCGCTAAATTAGCGAGGCGTTTACATGTATGTGATTCTTCCGCCAATTAGATTTTTCTTCTTCAGATTTTTGCTGTTTTTTAATATTTGAAACTACACTGAATAGCAATAACTACCTAATAGTAATAGGAGATTTTATTGCTCTTATTAATTTAATTGTTGGTGACGCGCCATCGCCTTCCTCACTGGCAAGCTAATGGCCTTCCCACGATATTTTTTTTGTAGATCAGTACCATTATCTTTGAACTAAACTTGGGGGTCATTCCTTAATTATGTATTTACTTGTGAGTTCCCAGAGTAGTCCAGAATCCCAAAACTTCAACATCTCAAAATTTCCATCTCCCTTTTATTCATTAAATTTAAGAATTATTGAGAATATTTAGTGTAATATTTTTACCTAAGGAACTATCCACCAATCGCATAAAGTTTTTGTAAACTTTTATTTTACTTTATTGTTTTTATTTTGCTTATTACATTTTATTAATTATTGTATTATAACTTTTAAAATTTTTAGTACTCTTAAGTTGTTTTATAAGATAACTCAATATTATGCAGCAAAAAATGTTAAGTTTAGTTATGTAAAAAATTCAGATTTGTCATTCCAAAGTTTTTTTTTTTGACATGATGGTTAAAACTAAGGTTAAATGATGATAAAACCGTCAATTGTCATAATTTGCTAACCCAGCCTAATTATGATATTTTTTTAAAGTGCTTAAAAATATTTTTGAGTGCTTGAAAAGTATTTAAAATGTACTTATTTTTTGTTGAAAACTTGACTACGCACCCTGAATGAAAAGTTCATAATAATTTAAAAAGGAATTTTACTTTAAAGTAAAATCTAATTTAAAATACTAAAAAAATTTATTAGTATATTAATAAAAAAATAATATATGTAGTTGCGTAAAGAATTAGATTTTGAGATATGTTAAAATTCAATTAAATAGTTGGTAAAATAGTTCTGAAAAACACGTGCTGACAGGTATTAAAAAAAATTATTTTAAGATCAAGACAATGTATAAAATGTTGAGGAATTTTAAAATACTTAAAAATGTTGACTATGTATTCGTATTAATAATTATAAAATATATATTGAAGAAATTGATAAATATATTATTCCAAATCTATGCATACGTTTGTATTAATATTGTGTCAATTATAGAAAAAAATAATATTTGAAAAAGCTGATGGATAATCACATTCTCTCACTCTACATTTGTTGAATAAACTGTTTTTTATTAAATAAAATGTTTTATTCAAATTTCTTTACTAAATGATAAATAAATTTTTAGACGACTAAAAAAGAAATATTGTATTTTATGATTTAAAAAAAAAAAAGAATTAGCAATCAATTATTAGCGAAAAAATTATGAAATAAATTTTACGCTACACGCACGAAGTTAAGTTCCTCGTTAATTAACCTCATTTAAATATTAATCACCCCAGTTAAATATTTCTTCATTGTCGCCAAATTATTTTTTTTAATATAATTTATTTAAATTTTTCTTGGCTTCTACTAAATAACAGTTGGAACCTTAGATTTTTCAATAGAAAAATATATAAATTAATATGGTGTAAAAAGATTTATACTTCATATTTGAAATTTTTTTTAGCTGCAATTAAATTAAGTAGAATTATCTTTGGATAAACGGATTTTATGAGTGGGTGCAATTTTTTTTAATTGCTTTATTTGTTTTAAAAATATGCCAAGAAATAAAAAAGGGTAATTAACATTAAGGGGTCCCCGAGTATTGGAATGCTCTCCTAACCAAAATATGGGGACCATATTTCTCAGATTGCAACTCTCTCCGAAATTTTGAAGGTTAAGATTTCAAATAGTGATGGGGCCGAATACCGAATATTCGGCCAAATTTTAGGCCGAATACTTACTTTTTAAAAATTTCTCTTTTGATTGTAATTAAAGTAATTTTCAAATTTTAAATTAAAAATGAAATAAATATTAACAAAATTGCTTTTTTAATCTTTGTATATTTAAAAAAATTTTAACAACTTGATTTATTTTTTGTAATAATTTAAATATCTTGATGCCAATAACAAGGCAATATGGCTTTTATAAATCTAAATAATTAATAATAGCATATTTTAGTTATAGTTATACTTGTAATTTATATGCTATTTTATTTAAAATAAGAACTCATTACTACTGTTAAATGTATTCTTAACTTTCTTTTTTGTCAGAAAAATTATTAAAACTCAGAAAATTAAGAACTTTTTAAAAAGTTTCACTTTTGAAATTTTAATTTTGTAATTAAATAATTTTCAAATTTTAAATTAAAAATGAAATAAATATTAACAAATTTGCTTTTTTAAACTTTCTATATTTTAAAAAAAATTTAACAACTTGATGTATTTTTTGTAATATTTTAAATATCTTGATGCCAACAATAAGGCTTTCACAAATCTAAATAATTAATAATAGCATATTTTAACTAATTATACTTGTAATTTTTATGTTTTATTTAAAATAAGAACTCATTACTACTGTTAAATGTATCTTTCTTTATTATTATGAATTTATTCAGCCAAATATCTAATAATAGTCATATTCAGCCGAATAACTTCATTATTCGGTCAAATAACTTCAGTATTTGGCTTGACCGAATATTCGGCAAAAGGACCGAATAGTGGCCGAATATTCGTTACATCCCTAATTTCAAATATGTAAAATATATCTATATTTATTCAGAAAAAAGTACTTTTTGTGTCTGATTTCGTAACTTAATTATTATTTTGCACTAAATAATCAGCATATTTGAGATCACTCCTAGAAACCTTTAAGCTTGACACCTAGTCTTTTATTTTCTTTGCCGTATAGATTTTAATTTTAAATTACAAAAAGTGCATGATTTTTACTATTTTCTCTATAATGTTTATCAGAAACTAGTTATTTCATCATGCTTATGTGAAGTTTTTGAATTTTATTGATTTTATGTTTATAAATTAAGAACTTTAAACAATAGAAAAAAATATTTTTTATTACTGCACAGATCCTAATTATGTTTTTTTTTTGGTAAGTGATTAAAAATATTTTTTGAGTGCTTGAAAAGTACTTAAAAGGTGCTTATTTTTTGTTGAAAAATCTGGCCATATTATCTTTAAATATCTAAATTATCTTTCATTTACAGGTTCAGAATTTAATGAAAGATTGATGAATTTTCATCATAACACTAAGAATGATAAAGAACTTTTGAAATCTTATGAGTTGGAAAAGGTATTCATATCCAAATTGTATATATATATTTTTTCTTTTTTTGTTAATTTCATTTGAATCTAATTCTATTTGCCTTATTACTCAAGTGAATTTTATGTATTGGGTAGTTGAAAAAAAATTTTTCAATTGCTTTTAAACCATTATTTTTCAAGCATTGGAATGTAGATCACTTGTTCTTCTTGTAGATAACTTGTCAATTTTTTATTAGGTGTTGATAGATCGAGATTTCGAAACAAGATACCTGGTGGCTCTGTAATCGAAAAGCAATTTCGGAATTTATCTACAATTTCAGAATTTTAAGAGCTTTTCTAAAAAAGTTACTAGCATAGAAAAACTAATATATTTTTGTTTGAAATATAAGTGCAACAATGAGTGCTCGATTTTAATATTCATCTAAGGATGAGCCATTCTCATCAATAGAGCTTTTTGAGCTACCAATAAGTTTTACGTAACTTGGGTATACTATGTATGTTACAGATAGTTGCCATCATAATTAACATATTCATTTTATCTTACTGTTTTGCTTCATTTGCGCCCTCTATGTTTGATCCATTGCTGAAGCCATAAACAATGATATTTTAAAATTTGAAATATCAATAGAGTACAGTCATTCTAAATTAAGTTATTTAAAATATTTTTTCCTTTACCAATTATATATATGTGTATATTTATAGATAAAGAAAGAGAAAAACTAAGAAAATTAATAAGTTTTAATTACTGCACATAAGTTGTAAGTATATAGAACTCATGAAATAAGTTAAAAATTATAAAAAAGCATGGAAAATAATATACTAAACTAACTCAGTGGCGCGACAGCCCATATAGGGCCTACTGTGCCCATCTCAGTTTTCTTGACCTTGGACTCTGGGGTGCAGGAGCAGACGTTCCGGTTAGGTGGTCAGCCGTTAAAAGAGAAGAAAAATTATTGAAATAAAATACTTCTGAAAATATTTTTTAAAAAATCAACAAAAAAGTTGTGATAGCCTTATTATGATCTCTGGGTGCCCATTGTTCAAATACTTTTTTTTTTCTGGATTGACTCCGTTAAATGCCACAACATTTCGAATCATGGGTTGTAAAAACTGTCATTGATGTTTGTCCTTGGATTGATTTTCATATCCTGCCTGTGTATGTGTTTCAAGACGTCACAAAATACTTTTCCTTCTTCAGAATTCATATTTATATGGAAATCACCCTCGAGCCAGTAATTATACATTAAAAGTGCCTGCTAGTGAAAATGAAAAGAAAAACAGCAGCGGTCGCCATAGTAACGCTTGTTTACTATTACTCTTCATAACACTGTTTACTATTACTCTTGAACACAGTTGAAAAGTGTGTGGGCGCTTTCAAATCCAAACTGATCCCAGCAGATTACTGAAGTCAAGCATCCTTGATTGCGGTCAGTGGGCGTTTGGGTGACCACTTGGATCAGACTGTGCAGGGACCGAGGGTGTGCGGTATGTTTCCTCGTTAAACTGTTCTACCGTAAAGTGCTCGACTTTGCCTGCAGGTCGTCGGGCTACCGATTCGGGGATGCCATCCCCTCTGCAGAGGATCAAAATTGTGAAGGCATGTCTTCGGATCATCCTCAGGGATGTTTCCCAGACCGTCGCCAATAGCCCATTGTGCAGCTCTAGTGCGACGTAAATGAACTACAACAANGTTTTCCAAAAAGGAATCCTTCCTTGATTGACATCTTGTAGCATCCTTGATCCCTACCGTAAAGTACTCGACTTGGTGCACAGGTTGTTGGGCTACCAAAGTGGAGGCGCCATCTCCTCTGCAGAGGATCAAAATTGCGATGGCATGTCTTCGGATCATCCTCAGGGGCGTTTATCAGACCGTCGCCAATAGCCCATTGTGCACCTTTAATGCGAGATTAATAAAATACCTACCTATCTAACTTTCTAAATTATAATTAGTTGTTTCACAGCCTAATACTGTTTCGAAAACCGGAAGAAAATTCTGAAGTTAATTATTTTTACTCTAGCTATTGCTAGATGGCATGTAACTCCAGAAAGCCACCTTATTTCATGGCACTTTTCTGGCTGTAGTGTGTTTGAACTGTAGAATAAACTATCATCTTTCATGTTTTTACATATTATCTTTTCAGGTTCTTTCATTGCTTCAAGTTGAAGATACCTCTAAGAATATAAGCGTAAGTTCAGAGTTTTTTGTCTTAATCATTAAGTTCTTACATTTAACTGTATGTCATCACTTAAAAGTGTACTTCACAGAATTGCCATATTCTTAAAAATCGCCATATTTCAAGTGATTCATTGGATGGAAAACAATTTAAAAAGGCTAAATTGTTCATAAACAAAGGAAATAATAGAAATCCATTTGCTTTGATGAGCTAATGGATTTCTATTATTGACCTCGAAGGTGTCAAGAATGACAAAACTTCACCTCAAAATTTCCATCTCCCTTTTATTCATTTAATTAAATAGAGATAAGAATTAATTGAATTGAGATTTTTGAATGTAAAATTAAAAAATCTTACATTCATACCTATAGGGCTGTCCACTAATTGCATAATTTTTTAAAAACTTTTATTGTACTTTATAACTTTTTTTTACTTATTATTTTTTAGTATTGTATTATTACTTTTAAAGAAATTTTGTGCTCTTAATTTGTTTAATGAAAAAACTCAATAACATTTAGAGGCAAGATTTTAAAAAAAGTATTAAGTGTAATATGCATGTATGTAATGCATATATGCATATATGTAATGCAGCATAAAATCTTGTTATTCAGATTTGTCATTCCAAAAAACTTTAAATTATTTCTTAATGACTTGATTTAAAACAGTTGAAATAAAAAATTCAGTTACGTCAAATTTGTTTATTGTGAGTGTAGGGACTATATAATACTTCTGACAAAAATGTTTAGCTTCAATGCTCATTGTATTTGCATTCCAAAACTACTTAAATGTTTTTAATCATGTCACTAAAGAAAAACTAAACCAAGAAACAAATAATCATGAAAATTTATTAGAGGCCATTCACTAATTTGCATTTATAATAAGAATTTATTAAGTTTTCTTTAATTTTTTCACAATTTTATAAAAACGGACCTTTCACAAAATGTCTGTTCAGACCCCTGATAATGCAACATAATTTTTGCAACCACTTAAGAAAAGTTACCTCCAACAAGAAGCATGTTAGCATCTGTTACAATAAGGGGTGTCATCTATTCTTTTGGTTAGTTGATTTCTGGTTAGTCTAACTTGTTCTGTACACCTGATTACCTATATCATCTTTTTAATAGCCAAAAAAGATGATTGTGCTCCAGAAAAATTCGGATTTTTCTCTAACTACAATCTGGAAGTTTCCAAGAAATCATTGATCTCATGTATATATATAAATTCTTGTATATTATAAAGACATAAATTTTTTGAAATGAGTCATTAATTATTTTATACCAAGAAATTTTGAAGATTGATCAGTTGTTGGGCTCACAATCACCCCTGTAGCTAATCAGTATGATCTTTTTAATTCAGGACCATTTGATTCAAGACATCTAGCAATGTTATTTTGTATCAAATGAGTAAATAAAAGTAAAAAAATCATTTATAAGTGAATATAAAAATTATATCATTGTCAGGATGCGTACAGTTTCCTTATACTTCTTAGAAACTCCTTGGAAATAAAAAAGTCCCCAACGAGTTCTTGGAACTACTTAGATTTCCAAATTAGTCCTTAGAATCTCCTTAGATTATTGCGTTGCATAGATGAACTAAGTCCGCTGATGAATTTGCTGTCCAAGCAGGAAATCTAAATGATGACTTAACTGCCAAAATCTAATAGTTTAAGAAAAACTCTAAAAGAAAAAAAAATTGATTGCAAGAGTTAGAAGAAAAAAAATAACAGCAAATAATTTTAAATTTACATGTTACAAGCAAACTTAATAATTTACTGTGATTTTTTTTTTATAAAATGCCTTAGATTTTTTTTGTGTATTCAAATTTAAAAATATAAGATTGTTAGGTTTTTATGTTAATCTTTGACATCTGTACTTTAACAAGATTTATTACAAGATTTGAAACTGAAAAATGTATTTATGTGTAAAAGTGATAGCTTTATTTATTTTTCTTGATGAAGTTTGACAAAGTCAAAATTTACTTCAAAAGGATTAGAAAAAAAATATGCAAAATATAAATTTTTGCAAGTTCCTTATAATAACTGCTTTTTAATTTAAAAAAAAANTATTTATTTTTCTTGATGAAGTTTGACAAAGTCAAAATTTATTTCAAAAGGATTAGAGAAAAAATATGCAAAATATACATTTTTGCAAGTTCCTTATAATAACTGCTTTTTAATTTAAAAAAAAAGTTTCTAGTTATCTTTTACACAAAGTTTTAAAATTTTTGAAAGTCCTTAAAATTTGGGACTCCTTGGATTTCTTCTTCTGATCTCTTTATGAACCCTGATTATTGTTCATATGATTATAACTCACATTTTAAGAAATACAACCTCTTGTCTTTTAGGATTCTTTTAAGAACAAACCACCTCTCCTAATAAATAATATCAGCAGTATTTCTGTACCTCTTTCACCTCATCAAAATTCCTGCAACAGTGAAGCAACTTTTGACATGAAACCTCCCATTCCAGATAGGACGTACTGTAAAAATGAACATATGGAAGACAGTCTTCAGTTTTCCAAAAAGGAATTAAATCCCATCATTCAAAAAAAGAAAGTTAAATTAGGAGATGTGTTTCATCAGGATTCTGTTTTGCATGCACCCAATAATTTGTGCTCAGAAAAAAGCAAAGCCAATACGTATGGGAGAAGGGATGAAGTCGAGAAAGTCGAACTGTCCGATGTCAATAAAAATCCTTGTTCAGAAAATATTTGTGATAATCTTCGACAGAACTGCAAAAGTGGGAATTTTAAAGAAACTCTTTCGGTCGAACCTGTCACCCATTCTGGAGATTACGTAAACATAAATTTAGAAAAGAATGGTAAGCTTACTTTATCAGAAAATGTGAAACATAAAAGCAACCCACTAACTTTTTATCCATGTGATCCTAACTACAGCAATATACAATTCGGAAAACAATTTTGCCCACTACCTAACCCAAATATTGCCACGAGTGATAATTCTTTCAGCACTTCTTCCATTAAATCTTCACAGTCATCTAAATACGAGGACCTGAGAGCACAAAATGTACTTAAGCCACCTTTAGCTCCACTTTATTCTGGCCCGGAGACTGCAAAAAGTATGGCACCCATGCTCCGAAACATTCCAAACACACTTCCGGCATTTCGGAAACAAATGTCCGCACCTGCGGGTCCTCTGTCCCTGCAGGCAGAACTACCATCACCTGGTAGAAAAAGTTCCTGTCCGGTGACAGCATCTACGAGCATGTCTCCAGCCTATGTCACACGCCCAATGCATTTACAGTCTGCCCACTTGCGAGTGTCGGCGTCCAAATCACCTGACCACAGTAGTGTGTCCAGTGTTTCGTCTGCTAGTGATGAAATAAGCTCGGCTCACAGCAGTCCTAAAATACTGAGCACGCCTCAGAATTTCGGTGCCATCGAAGAGGTGACGGATAGCCAACAGTACGAAAACGTTGTGATTCCGCAAAGGCCACCTTCTGCGTGCAGTGAAAAAGAGCTGAATTACGCATCCTTAGATTTGGCTCCTCCCTCTAAAAAAGAAACGATCGTTCATAAACCCGACAGAGAAGAGTTGACGTATGCAGTAATAGACTTTACCAAATCCGAAGGCTTGAAGAACACTTCGGGAAGCTTGCGCGAAGGAGGTCGTCTATAGTTCTAGTCATTGTAGTTCGACAAATTTTATATCTGTTATGTTTGCTTTTATTTAGTTGTTACAGTCGGAGAATTATAAAATTTCTTTAATATATTCATTATGTATTGCTTTCTCCAAACCTTAAACCCATTTATTTGATCCTAAATTAGGGTCCTGTTACTCCCATAAAACACTCTCTTTATAAAATGTGGTATGTTATAGGATCACTCACTTAATATTCAGTGTCGATCTTATATGATAATTATTGAGAAATATACTTTTACTTAAAACACATATAAAAATTGAATATTTTTTCTGTCATTTATGTCTAGAGCTATTGCATACTAGATGCATCACAACCAATAAGATTACAGTTATTTTCAATCATGGGTATACTGCCAAAAGTAACTGTATTTTGTAAAAATGAGATCATGTCTCTAAACCATTTAATTCAGGGTTGCCTCTCCACAAAGAAAACAGGGGAAACATGGAAAGCACAGGGAATTTTAAAATCATCTAAAATAAGAGGGAAACTGCAGGGAATTTTGATTTTTTTTTTCTTTACAAACTCTGAAAATACAGGAAATTTTGTTTATTTTCATCTTTTAAAAAATGGTGTCCACCCAAAGTGCAATCTATGGGATATTTAAAGATGATATTTCAGCTATATGAAGCTATTTCATTTACTATAGCATTATTTGTTTTAAATATGTTCAACTGTTCCTTTTTTCTTTAAGTTTTCCAGCAGTTATAGTTAGTACAATATATACACAAGCACAGTGATTGTATTTTTCCTCTTTATATATTGTGTACAGAGAAAACCAGATTTGAGTGGCAACCTTGTAATTGTCTGTTACCCTTTCGGAAAAAGTTTGAATCAATAAAACAGATAATTATACACCCATTGAGATAGACCAAAAATGAGCAGTTCTTCTAGATCTTAAAACTCAATTGCTAAAAATGCTTAATTGTATTTGTTTCTAAAATATTACACATTTGACTTGATCAACTTTGGCAGCATACCATCGATATAGCTAGTTAAACTATGTCAGTATGTGTGGTTATACTTCTTTTCATGGATAGCAAAATTTGCTGCAATGCAATAATTATGTAATTACTACTACCCGAAATAAGACTTTAAATAAGTCTTGTTCAAATAATGCCTTTTTGTTGTTGCGCATGTTAGTAAATTTTTGCAGACAATAATTTAAGTTACATAAGCTGCGTGTAGTTTGAAACTTTTAGTTAATTAATCGTCGCTAAAGATTTTTATTAAATCCAGAGTAAAGTTATCATTTGTTTTAAATTGTTAACATTTGTTAGAAAGTGTCAATAAGTATTTTTTAATTGAAAATATAATAAGCAAAGATTCATATTTTCTGCAGAATGCACATTTAGTAAATATATATTTATTATGAATGTCACAAATAGAAAACTGTTAAAATTAAAAACTTATTTGTTAACTTTCCAGCAGACACCATCTAGCATGGCAGCCGGTGCTGCTGATTATTTTTTATTTTAGCTTTCTTTTATTATTATTTTTCAAAGGGGAAAGTTGCTGAGACTTCTTTTTTAAAACATCTCTAAGCTTGTTTCTTATAAAAATTAAAAATCTGAATTTGAAGAATTACATCGCAAAGAACAAAAAGTTTAAAAATATTAAAAAAAGCCTACTAATTGATTTTAATCTGGACTATACAGCGTTTTGTTACATTTCTTTTTTTTAAATGTTATTGCATAAATTTCAATTTAAACAACATTGTCTTTATTTATAATTTTTAAAGATCTTATGTTTGAAATTGTTTTTACAAGTATGTTAGATTAAGCTAAATTTTTACAATAATCTTTGTCTGGTTGCACACGAATTTTGATTTATGAAGATAGTGATGTAGCAGGAGTCACTGTGAAAATTTTACTGCTGGGATGGTTAAGAACATTAATTTTTAGTGACTTGTAATCCAACACTCACAATGTTTGGGGTTTTTTTCCCCATGAACCTGTGACCACTCTATACTATTTTATGCCCAGGCTGGACTTGAAAGTGCAACTATTTGCATTCAGCCTTGAGCTTTCACATAAAAATTTAATCTGATAGTACTCCAAAACTTTAAATTACTTAGCATGTGGAATATTTATATATATATATCTGGTACATTATATATATATATATACAGTGTAACCCCATTTTTTTTTTTTTGCATCATCCTGCTTCCAACAGCATTTTCTGCCTGTCCATGAAAATTTCCTATACCGATAATGTTAAATAATCCTAGATTTTACGTTACCCCTTTTTTAGATATTATCCGTTTATATGTTATTCTAGCAGATCAAATCTTCTTTAAAAGAAAAAAACATTATTAGCTGTTTGTGGCTCCTTTGACTTTCTATCTTATTGTTCTTTTGTCTCTCGGAGGGAACTTAGCTCTAGACTTAAAAACAGAAGGGTGGTGGAATGAGCGAAGCACAGGACTGGTCATTAAAGGATGTATGAGAGCTTAAATTTGTGAGTCGAATTTTTTCAACAAACTTCAATCTTTGAATCTGGGAATTATCCAATCATTAAGGAATAACCCAATCATTCCTTCAATATCTGATTTAATGCCTGCAGTCGATGATAGGGATGAGAACGATGAAGATGAGCAAAAACTAGGATAGGAACAGTTAATTAAGAGTTTGAAAGCTCTGAGACATTTGCGAATGTAAACCATAACGTAAATATGCAATCAATAGTAATTAAGAGGGATAATGTTCAAATTGTATCTAAAAGCAAAAAAACATATAAATATTACACCTATTTTCTAGTAGTTCATCTCATTCTAGTAGTTCATTTCTAGTAGTTTTTGTACCCCGATTTTATGTCAACCTGCTACGAGTATTTTTTAAAGCTGGTGCGACGGAAAATGTAAAATCAGGGTTCCACTGTATATGTTAATCAGGGTTGCCACTCCACAGGGAAAACCTGGAAAATAAAGGGAATTTAAAAAATCACCTAAAATAACAGGGAAAATGCAGGGAATTCGATTTTTTTTTCTTTACAAACTGGGAAAATACAGGGAATTTTGTTTCTTATTTTTGTCTGTTAAAAAAGGGTGACCGCTCAAAGTGTAATCTATGGGATATTTAACCATGATATTTCAGCTATACTAAACTATTTCATTTACTACAGAATTATTTAAGTATGTTCAGCTGTTTTTCCAGCAATTAAAACTAATAAATATAGTTAGCCCAATTTAGCTCACGCAAGAGCACAGTAATTGTTGTTTCCTTTTTATGTATTGTGTATAATAGGGGTGTGCAACCTTTTTGAGTGAAGCGCCACTTGCACAGCAGGTAGATTAACTAATGTTTATGATTAATGTTAGCAGCAAATATGATATGATACTAATGATTAATGTTAGCAGCAAGTATGATAATTTTTATATAAACATTAGCGTTCTAAGCACTAAATATTTTTATCAGTAAACTTAACATACTTGTAGAAAACTAAATACTTTTAATTATTTTAATTTATTCAAAACTAAAAAAAATAATAATTTTTTTTTCCACAATAATTAATTTATCAATTATCTATACATACATAAATATTAGAAGGGGGATATAAATTCTAACCAAAAAGAAGCTTAAAGAATAAAATTGAAAAAAATATATGCATTTTATAGAGTAATATAAATTTGAATTAAATATTTTAATTAAAGAAAATGTATAATTTTTAAACAAAAACCAAATTAAAAGAAATTCTTATTGCGTTGAGAAATTCCCGCTGGTTGCATGTGGCCCGCAGGCCACAGGCTGTGCACCCCTAGTGTATAATATGTACAGGGAAAACACGGGAAATTTTTCTTCCAGGTTTGAGTGGCAACCCTGGCATAATGTACTGGATAAATTACAATACTGAATAGTTTAGTAATCAATAGTTACATAAAATTTCTATTGCTTCATAAATTGTACTGAAACTTTTCTTTCCTGTTGGCAGCTATAACCTACTTCACTTTAGATTTCATATTGATTATTAAATGAAGCGGGAAATGTGTGTTACGCTAAACCTCTGATTAACAGTGTTCAGTGTCTCGACCTACTGTTGAATATTAAGCTGTGAAGGAACATCAGCAGGAAGTGGGAGAAAAATCATCAGCTTGTAAGCTTAGAATTATAAGTTTTTTTTTATATTACTGACTAACTATTTCTTTCCCATTCAATGATTAATTAAGATGAACTCTTAAAGGATGTGGTGCAAAGAGGTACCCATTATATTGGGTTTTTATTTATTATTCTGAAACCAGGGGGCGTAGAGTTTTTAAAAAGTGCTTTAAGGTGCTTATTTTTTTATTTACGTTTTTTAGAAGCCCTTTAAGGTGCTTTTTTTATACGGGGTTTGTAAAAAGTGCTTAATTTTTTATCTTTTTAAAAAGAGTTTTTTTCTTCGCTGTATCGATTGTCGTTCTAAATTACAAAAAAAAATGCATGATTTTTATAATTTTCTCTGCAATATTTATCAGAAACTATTTATTTTGTCATGATTATGGAAAGTTTTTGAATTTTATTGATTTTATGTTCATAAATTAAGAACTTTAGACAATAGAAGAAAAAAAAATTTTATTACTGCACTGTTCCTAATTATGATTTTTTTTTTTGAAAAGTGATTAAAAATATTTTTTGAGTACTTAAAAGGTGCCTATTTTTTGTTGAAAAATCTGCCTACGCACCCTGTGAAACAATTTGTGTTTTAAAAAAAAGATAAATAAACACTACGTAGATAGTGAGAGACGCAAAAAATTTTCTAAATTAGTTACAAGAGTTGTTGTAGCTGTGATGCAGAGGTTCACAATGATAACTTTTTATTTATCTAACAAACTTATATAACATTTCATACTGCGTAACTCTAATTATTATTTAATAAAAACCAACGTCATTCATGATCTGTGTTGTGAGAGCAGGAGCTAGGGTTTGTTTTAAGAATGCGTAGTAAACATCCCATAGTACTTGAAAGTCCTTGAATTTTGTTGGGAAAAAATCTGGGCCCACCAAAAAGTCCGTAAATTCTGTGATTGGGTCCTTGAAAAGTTTTTGATTTTTCTCTGAATAATTTTCAAAATAATAATAATAACATTTTCTACAAAA